AATTTACTATCACAAATAGAAAAACAAAATTTAAAAATATAAACATGAAAATCTTGAAACTAAAAATAAGCCCAACTGCCCCACTAGTACACATGCACCAAGTTTCAGTTTAGTTTTACTTTTAATATTTTTTTTCTTATATTTATAATGTTTTAAGTAGTAGTGGTTTGTAAGCAAAGATGGCGATGTGGTGGAGTTGTGGTTATCATGAAAAAGAAGGAAAGGGTTTGGCATTTGTCAACAGTAGGTGAGAATTCACTTCAATTAATTAATTAAAAATAAAAATCTGTACAAAAAAATATGTAAACTTTTTTTTTTTAAACTATGTAAACATTTATAAATACCATGTTGTTACATTAGCTCATCAGAAACATAGTTGTCACAAATAGGGAGAACCATGCTTCAAAACTGCAATTTTTAACAAGAAGAAATTAATATTAGAAGGAAAAAACTTGCAACTATTATACATTAATTAAAATGTGTAGTGTCGGTACATTTTAATCATATATAATAGTTTGCAAATTACACAACAGAGGTCAATTGGATTATAAAGACTCTGCGCAATAGATTTGACCGAGGGGTAATTAAACTACTAATTTTGGTCATCCATTGTAATGACATGCATTATTTCATACTAGTATTTTTCACCCGTACATTACACGATAAGAATTTGTTATAATATTTTAATAATATTTAGATCGATATATAATATTTTTGTTAGATCCTTTAACAAAACCCACTCTTCTTGAATTCAATCTCATCTACCCCAATTAAAAAAAAAAAAAAAAAAAAAACGTTTTGGTTACATTGTGTAGGTTGCGATAGATTTGGTTTCTTGGAATAATCATCATTTTTTTTTTGGGAGGGGTGGGTGTGGATGTGTGTGGTGGTGGTTGGGGGGGGGGGGGGGAGGGTGTTGTTATTCATATATGCATATCTTTTTACATTCCTAAATCTTAACCATTCATTGTATGATACCTAAGCTACTAACTTCTCATGAGTCATGATATTGCATGTTGTAAGCCCTAGATATTGTTAGGATTATTTTATCAACAATTCAAAAAACTAAGGAAGATTGATGTGACAATTCTTTTTTTTTTTTTAAATTAGTAAACATATACTCCCTTGTCCCATTTTATGTGTGTGATTCGATTAACGAGGCTTGACTGAAGTTATTTTTAATTCAATTTTTCATAATATTAAGTTTATTATTGATATACAAAATTTATATATTCAGAAACTACACTAAAAATACTATCAAAAAAATAAATTAAAAAGGAGTAAAAATACTAAAAACAAATTTTTTAAAAAAAAGTTAGTTTGACCAATAAATAGTAAGTTTGACAGATAAAATGAAAACGAGAGAGTAAATTTTTTTAAAAAATATTTAAACTTTTGAACTCAAAATTAATAATTACTCAATTTTATCAACTAAGTGCCTTAGTACTCAAATATAGTCTTGAGTTAGTTTCTGACATGAGCTTCTTTGAACAAAATGATCTTAATTCAAAAACTTAGTTACTGAACTGTATTCAAATGTAATAACTCGTAAACTGTACTAAAAAATCTTCTGTAATAAATACAACCAAAAAGGTATATATTAACAAACATATATTACACTCATAACTTCAAATACACAAATCATATTTTATCTACTTAGCTTTCCCTTCTTAGAGGCATTTTGTGAACATCTTTGACACACATGGATGAGAATTGGAGTAGGTACATCTATCCATTGAGTTAAATGAGAAGGGTAAAAATAACTTCATATCATGCTTTTGGTTGTGGGTAGGCTCACATGCCCTAGTAAATAGGCTGGCAGCCTGACACAATCTGTTTAAGAGTTAAAAACCCTAGCTAGATACACCCATTCTCATTTCAAATACAGAGTAATAATGAGGGAGTATCATATCTTGACACTTGCCATTAAAGTGCATGACATGACCATTGGAATGGAAGATGTCATGTAAGTGATGTAACTAATATCTTTCTGTTTTAGTGATGTTAGTTATAGCCTATACCACCATTTTCAATAGTCCAAGATTTTGTAAAAAGATTTAGCTAGAATTTAAATAGGAAAAAAAAAAAAAGGAGAAAACAATTCATGAGAGTTTTTACCAGTTAGCGAATAGCGACTACTCTTAACGCGCCCAACAAGCGTGTGTAGTACACGTGTCCATTAGGTGCTACTGGACCAATTGCATTTTTTTTAAGTTTGTGGGGCCCACTTCAAGAAAAAAAAAATCATCACTCCGATGACAATTCAAATATTCTCTCTCAAACACACTCTTTCTTTCACCTAGGATCCAACCTCCTTAAAAACTGAGCTAAAATTCTTATTGGGAATGGTCTAATAGTGATGTAGTTAATCGTCCATTCCTTTTGTTTTTCATACATTACTAAATTCACATCACACCACTTAGTAATTTGGAACAATTAATAAATAAATTGTTAATATAAATATCGATCATAAAGAACTTTAAAGTAGGTTGTGATTTAAGCCTATACTAAATTTTATATATATATATATATATATATATATATATATATATATATATATATAACAAAAAATCATATCTCGCAGGATAAAACTAACATATACATGATAACATGAATGCATAAAGTCATGACTGTACTTTTATATTTTGTTACAACTAAAACTATGAGTTCAATATATATCTTAAAGGGCTATTGGAGTTTATAAAATGAAATTGTCGGGTAGCTATGTATTTGCCTCAAGTTCTCAATGTTAAATTAAATAAATAAAAAATAAGAAACAAATATCTTTGATCTTAAGTTACTGGTGAATTGTACTAGGACTATGTGGTCTAATGGTATCCGGGTTGGACTTTCATTTGGAAGGTTGTGAGTTCAAGGATCAGTGGAGGCGTTATTGGGCATTCAAAAAAAAGTTACTGGTGAATTGTTATTTTGGTCCCTAATTATTTTAGGTGCTTGATTTTAATCCATGAGTTATTTGAGAGATTGGACTTTTAGTCATTTGACCTAAAGTTTCCACTTTTAACCTTAACAATTTAAATATTAATATAGCATCTGACTATAGATCAAAGTATTATAAAATCACCCGCTCAAATAACTCAAAAGCTAAAACTAAATATGTAAAATAATTAGAAACTAAAATAATAAATCACCAATAACTTAACGAACCAAAATTGCTTCTTTTCTTTTTCCCAACAACAAATGATAATGAATTAAAATAAGAAAATTTATCTTAAAGTTGAAGCTAAAATTTAGTTGCATATATAATAATGGGCATCCTTGCATTCATGGCCTCGTTTGTGATTGGATATATCAACTGTTTCCACTTCAGGAAAACTCCAAAGTGTGCAGTGCCACCATTTTTAAGATAAGTATGTATGTATATATAATATGTGGTGATTAATTCATTGATTGGTTCACCAACAATATAATAAAGATGTTTAGCTAACTATGTCATTATGTTCAAATCCATCATCATTCTTTCTTCATTAACTCTTCCTTATCTCACTAATTAAATTAACATCTGCAAATACCATTTAGGGCCTTTTGCTCTTTTTCTTATAGTATATAGGTACGATTATTACAAAGTCATTTACTTTAATTTACGAAAAAATCCGTACATAATCGCACTCAAAGGTGAGTGTTCTGAAGATGGTGGTAAAATTATAACATTTGATTTCTGAACATAAAAAAGTGTGAATGTATCCACACGATCACATTTTTTACCGGGGAAGTTGTTTTCATTTAAACTCTCGCATATATATATATATATATATATATATATATATATATATATATATATATATATAAATCCGGTTCATATATAAGACCCACTCCCCAAGTGAGAACCTTTGGCCAAATCCAAAATATAGAGTGCAAGATCTTATGGATAGGAAATCAAGTAAATAATGAGCAGTGCTATTTTCATAAATATTACATACTTTCAAAATTTATAATATTTATGAAAATAACTCCTTTTTTTTCCTTCATTTTCAATTGTTAAATCTACTATCGATTGTTTGGATTTGTCTATAGGTTTTCACTTGTGGCATGGTTCTTTATATATATATATATATATATATATATATATATATATATATATAGCTTGATAATTGTAATCTTATGAATTTAGGTGTGGGTATTTTGTTTTGTTTCCTCTTTAAGAGTTGATGTTAACACTAAAGTGGAGAAACATTATATTGATGAGACTTTGAATATAGTAGGCCAGGTCAGCAAAAGCGTACCCTAGAAGAGATCAACCTTATCTTTCTCAAAAAAGACTGGCTCAATGCTCATGGCTGGAGTAGTGGACTTATACTATGATGAATTTTCTAAACCGTCGCAGGGGATAGACTATACAGCATAGATGTTGATGTCTTTGGATTCAAATGTATATCTTTTAGGTCAAAGAAGAATGTCCATTACATATATCACATATGACTTGGTCAAGTAAACTTTAGAATTTGGGCCCAACATGCTTGCTTTATAATTCCTTTCAATTGAAAAATAAAAATAAAAAGTTAAAAAACTCCAATCCTAAGGTGCGTTGTCTTGTCCATAGGGTCTTGTAGAGAAAGTAAATTGTAAAATGTATATCGTTGAATTAATGTCGGGTGAAAGTTTAAAGGGCCAAATATACAATTTTGTCATTGAAACATGACGATGACTGCTACACAAGTAAAATTACGCTTTCGCTATTAGTTATAACTTTTGATTTTGATTTAGATTTAGTGGTAAGCGCTCGATTCAATAACTTACTATACTATTGGATTCCAAAAAAGTTAAATATCCTACTTGTTTTTGACTACCAAACACAACTAAAAATCTGGCACTCATTAAAAAAATTAAGTTATTTACTTAAGGATCCAAATGGAAGGTGTTGTGAGGCCTGCAATAACCCTTTTTCAGCACTAGTTAAGACAACAAATTGTTTTCTTTATTACAATCTCTTTGTTGGAAACTTGTAGTGTCAAAGACTTGAAGCTCTGCTCAGGAAGATATTTCCTTCAAACAGACAAATAAATTAAAGCAGTGTGTATTTAGAGACTTACATTTGGAACCTCATCAAGCTAATAGTGGTCAACTAAGTCAAAATTGGCTAATATGCTATATTGCTAACTATTTTACCAAACAGAAACCTATTGAGATAATTAAAGTTAATGGCTGAACAAAGGCCTATTTAGGTCTAACAGTTGCTGGAAAAATAATGAGCCCTATCTGTTGACAAGTTTCAATTGTTTGCACAACATCAATGAGGGCATAATCCAATTCAAAACTAAGCAATAGCCTAGGTAAACATTTCCACTTTCCCAATTTTAGTTAAAGAATTTCCATGAAAACTAATAAATGTATTGAATAAAGAAACTCAGCTGAGTATGACTTCCCCAAGGTTTGACTCCTCAAGCTCTGCATCCAGATCAGATGTGCATCTTCATTCAAGAACAAGGCCATGTTGGGGGGGAAATGGCACTTCGATAAAAAACAAGCATATGCAGAGCATGATCCATATGTAGCTTTAGAGTGATTTCCTAGTGTAATAAGGGCCATTAGTTTTCATTCAAATTGGCTTGCGTATTCACCCTGTAGATGAATTAATTACTGCATGAAGCTAATCCTGTAAATTTATTTTACCAATATATCCAAAGAGAAACATAGTATGTTTACCTTATGTGTGCTTCTGAAAATGGACACAAACCTTGAGCCCATGCATTGTTCAACCTTAGTTTTCATCCTTCTAAGCAACTGGACACAGGACTGCTCAAGCCACTCCAATCAAAAACTGCTGCCACAAGGTTATGCCTTTTTTCTGCCTCTCTTGATTTTTTTGGAGAAACGATCCTTGGGGTTTAAATGAATTTCAAAAAGCATCTCTGTCCAAAGTGCTTCAAACTGGTCATGGAATCCTTCTTGAAACCAATCCATTATTTCTGGAAAAAGTTCTCTGGGGTTCATCTCCCACAATTTCTTCAGCATCACACAACTGTCAATAGTTCCCCCTCGACTATTCAGTCTATTTAAGAGATTCCCAACACGCTTATGCCCCAATGCTTCGGGTCTCAAAATGCTAGCTGGTGAGGCCGCCATGAATTTCCTTGCAGCTTTTAAGCATGGTAGGACTTGACCATCGAGCAATGCATAGGCAAACACCACTACACATTTCATATTATCTTCAATGGGCAAAGAATGTCGTGGGAGCTCCCACAGGTGAGGGCCAAAAGTAGCATCAACCCAACAAAAAACACGGTCAGCCAATGGGCAATAGTATGGTTTTGGATCTGAGAGGGGGGCAGAAAAACTGCACAAAGACTGACCATATTTAACAAGCCAATTTGCTTTCACACTTGTTGCTCCATGAATATATGGCCTTTTTGAATGCAGCAGTTCACTGTACACTAAAAATTCGGGTGCAGACTTTGAAACAGATGACCGGCGATTGAGGAATACAGTTTCATTAACCATGCAAGCTTGGTAAGAAACCGCATTCACTTTTCTATCTCTTTCAGATGGACCAGAAACTCTCTTAGTGCGTTTAGCAACCCTGTCAGCCCAGCCAGCATAGATAGCTTGTCCCAAGATCTCCTCCTCATTTGATTGAAGAGAATGTTTGTTCGAACAAACCCTCCAAGCAGCTTCTACATCCTCAATGGTCCCATAACTCCATGAGAAATCCTCATGTAGTTCACATTTTGTGTTAAACACTAGACGAAGAAGCTGCTTCCTCAGTTTAGACATTTCTTCCATGGTCTTTAGGTGTAATGCATTCTCAATGCAGAATACTGCTGGATTCCCTGACAGTTCAAAACACTGCAAAGCACAAGCTATGGTCAAAGCATCACTAGTGGGGTTTAAAAATTTTGCTCGGGAGACTCTAGCAATTTCTTTCAACTTCTTTTTCCTCAATTTTTCTTCCTTCTCATCACTTCTCTCACATTCCTGCTTCAAGCCATCTGGATCAGACTGTGTTTGTTCGAACTCCATAACAAAAGGATTTGACAAGCTCAAAGCTGCAGCTGCTGCAACTGCATAAGCCAAAACTGTATTTGCCCGTTTATAATCTTTAACTTTCTGCATCATCTGAATAACTGTAAGGAGCATACGGGAGTGGCGAGGACTCATTGGGAACTGTGACATGACCTTCCCAAGAGGCGTCAACCTTCCTTTGACATCAAGTGCTTCAAGAACTTTTAAGCACCGCTCTGCTTCAACTAAGGCAGTCGGCTCAGGAGGAGTTGGGAAAGGGAAATTTGCAACCTGAAATTACATGGAGATGAGAAGGGTCCATTAGTAATGCACAAGGAAATACAATAAGCACAGCAACCCTTGTTATACCACCCATTTGTTGTTTAGATAGGAGGAAAAGAAGTAGAAGGAAGGAGGCACTCGTGGGGACCAAGTAATCCATGTGAAAGTGTTTGCAAAAGAGGAAATTAGGTCTGGGTAAATTTGCTAAACCTAGTACAAAATTATCTCCATGCGGGTTATTTTTACAAGGTTAGAAACCTGTGCATATGGTGGTGCCATAATTGTAAGCAAAAAAGTTCAATGCTAAACTTACCTTGCCAATATGCATGGATTTCATAAGGAGCACAACACCATCCACAGGTACTTTCAATATTTCAGCATCTGAGAAGGGAGCAAATATGTCATTAAAGACTGCTGATGAATAAAGGCGATAGCAATGACCAGGTCCAGTTCTTCCTGCTCTCCCTGCACGTTGGGCAGCTGAAGCCTTACTTATCCATTGGACTTCATACGTTTCCATCCCATTGGAGGAGTTGTACCTTTTTACTTTTTCTCTACCTGTGTCAACCACATATTTTATACCTGGAATTGTCAAAGAGGTCTCAGCCACATTGGTAGCAATAACAATAAGGCGCTCTCCCTCCTTGACTTCTTCAAATACACGAAGCTGAGCAGATGCAGGAAGCATGGCATAGAGGGGTAGAACACACATAGGACCAGCACAATGAATACTGGGAGCAACCATGTTGTTGCTCAATTGGGAACTAGAGGCATTTGATTCACCCTCAGCAGTGACAGGAGCAACTTCTCTTCCAGTAGACCCAGATGCAGAGGCTTTTTTCCCAGACAAAGCTTCAAAAGCAGCCTTCAATGAAGCAAGGTTTCCATCTTCTCCCAAGGGAACTGCAAATTTACCATCAGAGTCCGAGGAATGCTGATTTAACAGATCCTCCCCATCAGAACAGACTTCCAGATCACTATCATCCTCCGAATCATAGGACATATCTGATTCATCCTCATAGGTATCCCCATGCTCCTCATCATAGGAATTAAAACGATCAGTTATTTCATGACTAGAGTTCTCATTTACCTCAAATGCCTCATTTATCTCCTGCATATCTTTTTCTTCGGTGGGTTTTAATGCAGACATTGAAAGTGCCTCATTCTTTTCCTTACAATTTTTCTCAACTATTTCCTTAGAAGCTTTACGTAGCTTCCGGCACAAGAACTCAATCTCCCTCTGTCCAGTTACAAAAACAAGTATGCCACCAGCAGGCAACCTTTTGTGGATAGACAATACTTTTTTATAAGCTTGACCAACATAATCTACAATCTCAGTTCTCTTAGAGAAGTGTGTAGTAACTGGGAATTGTCGTGTTGGGACTTCTATTACAGGTGGAGGATCATGAAAAACTCTTCCCCCAGACACAAAGTCCTCAACCCGCAATGTAGCACTCATCAGCACAAGTTTCAGAGGATATATCTTTTCTTTGCAGCTTACTATATCTCCTGACATAACTTTCTTATGCTGCTCTGCATATTCCCTCTGCCATATAGAATTAAACAAGTTAATTTTGACACCAAAATGAAATAGAATTACACAAGAAACATAATGTAGGGGAGTAAATGAGCTATCTTTGACAGGTCTCAAATGAAAATGGAAAATAAAATGGAGAGCATAAAATATACAGATCCAGTTACCTGGCGCTCTCTTATTACACGAGAAAGCATTCCAACAAGAATATCTGTGTTCAAGCTCCTCTCATGAGCTTCATCCAAGATTATGACTGAGTAACGTCTTAACAGAAAATCATTCTGCACTAAAGATACATATTAATAGGTGATAGACTCGGCACTGAAGAGGAGTAAATTATAACTGTAAAGCCATTAAGAAAGGAGTAACATTTTTTTTTCACCTGAATAACCTATACAACTATAGCATCCGGTACTATTATCATACCTGCACTTCTCGAAGCAAAATTCCATCTGTCATGAACTTGATTGAGCAATTATCCCCCACCTTCCTATCATGCCGAACTTGAAAGCCAACCTCTTTTCCTATATGGAATCCAAGCTCAAATGCCACTCGTTTGGCAGTTGCAAGTACAGCAACACGGCGGGGCTGGGTAACACCAATAATGCCCCTTCTTCCATCATCACTTTGGGATCCAAATCCAGCTTCATAAAGAAACTAGAAAAAATAAATAAGCACAGTTATACGGAAAGGATGTTTTAAATAAAGAAGAAAAGGAAGAATATAATGTACTTCATAGAAAAAAACAACTGAAGCATTGTTCACCTGGGGAACTTGGGTAGTCTTGCCACAACCAGTCTCACCACATATAATTACACAAGTATTCTCATTAATGGCTTCCATTATCTCCTGCTCCATCATGACTATTGGAAGATCCTTCCTTTTGTTCTCAACCTCTGTTGGTCTAGAAACATGCACTACAGTCGGGGCAATAAAAGACCTTGGTGGAGGACAGTCAGCCAGTTTAGCTTTCTGATTTTCATCAACTCCAACCTGTCCAATTTATTTAAAAGAAATTAGCTGATAGAAAATAACAAAGCAGGGAAGGAAACAATTTTCTTTGAGAATATGCATATATAGCCAGAGCTGTACCATTATTCCTGTCCTTTCTTCATCATGACAACTTGAGGTGGAAAGTGGATTTTGCATATATTTAGGCATTAATGGCTCATTAGTTTCATCTGTTGCATGCCTAACTGGGGTGAGAGAATCTCCATCTAAAGCGTGAGGTTTATTCTGCAAATGAGAAGTTTCTAAATACAAAGATGTGTCAGACACATCTTTGATTACTGGTGACTGCAATGGGCGGTCATTGACAACAAAAGTACATTGCATTCCATCAGATTCTTGCGCATCATCACACAATATGCTATCAGCAGTAGTCTTCTTAGAGGGTCGATCACCACTTGGCACTTCTAATCCTGCTTTAGAATACTGCACTTCTCTTCTCCTCTTCTCCCTGGTAGTTTCAGCCTAACAAAGATTAGGTGTGTCACTTAAGCTACTCTACATTAAGCTTTAAGTTATATAAAAGTGCTGTCAATGTAACATTACAAACCTGACCCAAGTTCCTCGAAGACCACATAAGTGAATAAGCAGTGTCCCCAATCTTATACTTCCTGTAATGTAAATCAAGCATGTGTTTCTTTAATAACGCAAATATAATCAGACAGTATTATAAGAAATAACGAAGTGGCTCTTACGCCATGGTCTCAAGGCTTTCCGACAAAAGGATAGCCTTTTTCTCTTCCTCCTGTATATGAAACATTAACTCATTAAAATCTCATAATATACTGAGTAAACATATCAGAAGAATTTGAAAACTGCCAAAACCACACACCTTGAGCTTCTCCAGCTTCTTCTTATGGGATTTTCCTAACTTAGAATTGCTCTTAGCCTTGGAACCTTTCAACATCTGACAAGCCATTAAAGAAAATCAGATGCACCTTATCATGTATCGTATCATACATATGAGTTACGCCGTTACGACTCTAGAACCCTCAAATTTTAAAATTGTGTTGTATTAGATTTGGAAATTTTTTAGAACATTTCAAGACTATCAAGCTCTACAAGATTCTTCGTAGTTAGAAAATGAAGCAGAGAAGAAAACCAATTAGTATTAAGGCAGTAAGACAAAATTGAGAAGTAACTCATACAACACAAAGCCAACTAACAAGAAACACTTGGCAGTAAGTTGTTGTTACAGTAAGAAAAGAAGATCACACAATGAAGGGAAAAGACAGTAAGAATGCCAACAGTAGATAGCTGACTGGCGGCGAGGCTTAGGTGAGGTGAGAGCTGAGAGGAGCAGAGGGCGTCGGCCATCGGCGTTGGAGAAGCAGAAGCCGAGAACAAAGATCGTCGGACGACTCGGGTGTCGTCGGAGAAATTGAGAGAATCTGGATTCTGGAATGGTCTTAGGGAATCAAGGGATAAGGGATTAGCTGATTAGGGATTTAGTTAGGGGATTTCAAATATGGATGGCAACGGGGCGGGTCCGTTCCCTCGGGAATTTGGCGGGGACGGGGAATCCCCATCGCCGGTCACAGTACACAGTATGTATTCCACAAATTATACTATTATTGTTGTTATACACAGTACATAGTATGTATTCCACAAATTCACAGTACACAGTATGTAACTATGTATTCCAAAAATTCACAGTACACAATATGTATTCCACAGTATGTATTCAATAATATATTCCAATGTATACAAAGTATATACACTTACTTGTGAAGGCTGTGATGGAGGCCTATGACTGCCACTGGGACGCTTCATTGGACCGGCGACCGACGAAGCCTGCGACCGACGAAGCCTGCGACCAACTGCGACCGAGAAGCCTGCTGCCTGCGACCAACTGCGGCCGAGTAGCCTGCTGCCTGCAACTGGAGGCCTGGAGCGTGACCGGCGATGGTGATGGAGGCGGCTGCCGGCTGGAGCGTGACCGGCGAGGCGGCGACGCTGCGTGAGAGACGAGAGTGAGGCAGTGGGCGACAGGCAGGGCAGAATAGGCTAGGGTTACTGAAATTTGAAATCACTTTTCTATCTAAATTCTAATTAAGTAATTAAGTAATAATCTAATTCCTAAAATAATATATATATATATATATATATATATATATATATATATATTCGGGGGCGGGGCGGAGCGGAGCGGTGAAGGGTATCCCGTATCCCGTCCCCATCCTCGGTCTCTGAAATTCGTCCATGTCCTCGACGAGGACATGGATCCCCAACGGCGACAGAGCACATTATTATCCCTGATTTAAAAAAAAAAAAAAAAAAAAAAAAAGGATTTAGGTAGGGAATATAAATATATAATTTGATTTTGGATTGGGTAATGGTATATTATGTAAGGGCTTGGGTTGACGGTATATAGAGAGGCTTGCGTTCAAATGCATCCATCCTTTTTCATGAGTCTGTGTGGACAAGTTATACACATTGATCTTCGCATTATGAATGCTTAGATTTTCTTTGTTTTTCTACCGGGGTTGTTTGGTGAATTTGTTGTACATTTAGGGGGCGTTTGGTTCAGGTTATATAACATAACCAAGGGAATGTAACATTCCAAAGTTCACATTCCGGTGTTTGGTTCATATTATCTTAGGGAATTTGACATTCCCAAGGAATGTCATATTCCATCCACATAGGATTTTGAAGGGAATGTGATTCCCTTCAAAATCTTAGGTAATGTAAGATAACCTTGGTTATCTTAAGGATATTATAGTGTGTATAAAAGATAACCCTAAACCAAACATGATTATATTACATACCCCAATTTTAACCAAACACAGGAATCTAACATTCCCAGTAATCTAATATTCCCAACAATCTAACATTCCCTAACGTAATCTAACATTCCGTGAACCAAACGACCCCTTAAAATGTTATTAATTTAATTTTAAGATTTTGTCCATGATTTTACGAACTGGTTTTGATGGTTACATAGATTTGCCTTTGTTAATGGTTCTCAGTGCGTTATAGTAGCTTCGTTTCATTTGTTCAGGGCATGAATAGTTGCACACACAAAAAAAAAAAAAAAAAAAAAAAAAAAGCGAAGTGCACAGAAACCAATTTGGGGCGAAACGTATAACGTGAATTGCACAACAAAAACAACAGGGTTTCGCATAAACAAATAGTAAAGTGCAGAGAAACAAACTTATTTGATAACAGATTATTATTTTTATAAAAAAGAATTGAAATATCAACTTATGGAATGCCCCCAATATCAACTTTTTTCAATTTTATATATATATATATATATATATATATATATATATATATATATATATAACGATAATCAATTTTGAACAATTTAATTTGTTTGTAATTGAATCCTCACGACATTACATTCGTAATTGAATTCCCACTGAATTATATATGATTTGTGTTAGAGTAGCTTGACTCTATTAGGGTTGTGCAAAAACCATCATACCCAAAATCTCGCCCGATTCGAAATCCGAACAAGGCCACAAGTAGGGTAGTCGAACCCGAAGCTAAGAAATCAAACTAGAAGTTTATTTAGACGGTCAGATGGATGATTGCAAATCGAGTAGGGTTAGGGTGAATGTCGTGTGTGTGTGATAGGCTAGGGTTCACCATTTATCCTACCATCACGTTGTTGCGCAATCGTGACTTCTCCAAGTTCCATGTCTTCTCTCTAATCTCTTGAGTATCTATTATCTTCTATGATCTCTAGTTATATGACTTATATGCTCTCTATTAAACAACTGCGTGTATTTGTCTTCTCTAGTTATCTTCTCATACTCAGTATCTCTGACTGTTTGAGTATCTTCCAGTGTTAAAAAGACGCTAGTGACCGATTTTATTTTATTTTTTTTAGGGGGTTATTCGTAAAAACAAAAAAAAAAAAATGCGATTTGGCCGCCTAGGCGCCCGACCGCGAAGGAGGTTGATTTCGGCGTTCCTCGACGCGGCCGGGCGCCGCCTAGCGCAATTGGCGCCTAGGCGCGATTTTTGCAACCATGGTCTCTTCGACGCCAGTGGTGTTGTGGAACTGTGGTGGAAGCCAGGTAGCCTGCAAGTCTTGAGGTATTCATACTCGTACGTGGTGTTCTGGTAGAAGCCTTTGCTTGAAACAATTGCCATTTGGGCCCACTTTATTTTAACCCTATCACAAATTGGCCCAATATCCATGCACTTTATTAATCATCAGCCTGCAATCCTGTATACTATATATAAATATAATTTTTTTAAAAATGGGACGGACATGTCCGGGGTCAGCCCTATTATTTAGCATGATAGTGTCACGTCAACTAGCATACACTATGATATATTTTTTTAAGAAGAAAACAATAACATATATCGATGATGATATACATTGTTGCAGAGGAATTGTAAATAATATTTTAAAACAAAATTATCAATGTGTGTTTCTTTCTTTCTTTCTTTACACCATTTTTTTATGTTTATTTTTGGTTGATGAAAGAAATCATAGTCATTATCTCAAAGTTTTTATCAGGTAAATCTATTCATATGTAATAGTTTAAAAATTGCACATAAAAAGATAAATCACACTAAAAGCTAGTTTTAAAAATTAGTAACAAAAATTAAACTCATAAACTTCATATACGAGACTTTATCACCTTCTTCCTTTATTTATATGGGGTCATCTATATTAGGCAACATTAGGTTTAGGTTTAAGTCCACTGGCCCCACCACCATTATAATGAATAATTGGCATCACATTGTTTACCCCACTCAAACTGAGGGGACGGGGCTTATTGTGCGCAGTAAGCAAAGGTCTAGTCTCTATGGTTCAGCTAAGTTACCATAATTTATATCCTTCCAGTTTCAAATGCTCTGTCGAGCCAGGGTGTGGTGACCATTGAGGTTGGGGATTCAACCTTTTGGGAAGAATGAATAATTGGCATCACATTGTTTACCCCACTTTTAGAAAAGTGAGAGATTATGGTGCTTATCTCAACCACCTTTCTCTATATATTGTTGTATTAAATTATTTTTAAAAAAATTGTAAATATTTCCTCACCAATTGTGTGTGTGTGTTTTTAAAAAAAAAAAAAAAAAAAAAAAAAGAGGGAAACTTATAATTACCAATCAATGGTATACACTGATAAATTTTATTCATGTATAATAGCCTACAAATTACACAAAAGATGTAAACTGCAATATGAAGATTCTATACGATAGACTCGACCGATAAGGTGTTGAAAATAATTGAACTCGTGACTTTCTAGTACGAAAATCATGCTCTACGTACTCAATGTTATAGAGTATTGAGGGATAGGTTGAGAAGATTACTCTTAGCCTTTGTTTTCATTTTTGAATTGAGTCTGATACGGTTAATTCTCGATTATACGTAGAGAGTATACAGTATGAGCGTAGACAAGAGAAAGTAGCTCAAAAGGAACTCTTATTCATAATTGTGTTATTGTGTGTTTCTAGAGAGTGAATTGTGTTGAAAATAATGAACCAAGTCGATTTACAAAAAATAATATATATATATATATATATATATATATATATATATATATATATATATCAACAAACAAAATGGAATTTATAATCCTTCAGATTATAATTCCAACCAACAAGAAAGGAGTAAGGATTTATTGCTTAAAAACATAATCCCTTGAACCGAAAGAAGAAGATCGAAGAAGAAAGATGGTTAGTACGAGTCGAGCGAAACACTCTTTCATTAAAACCTTATTTGCTACCTCCCAAAAGTGTTATGATCATTGTAGCCTAGGTTTCCCAGGATAAAAACGTACTACGGTTCAACATTTGAGCACCCAAACTAAGAACTCGGCGAGCAAGACAAGCTATGAACACAGTAGGCAAAGAAAGTGAGTAGAAGCAGAATTTTGAGGCTGGAAAACAATGTTTCGTGTACAGTGGTAGTGCTGTGTGTTGTTAAAAAACCTGCTTCTCACTACCTCTCTTATATAGGGGTGAAGGAGCCAAAAACTTTTAATGAGGCACTTTAAGGCACCCCCCACTACACCTTGTAACAGCAACATTTACCATGGGTTTCAATTCAAAAATAAAGATTGGAATTAATTCAAAGAATTAATTCCGTAACAGTAAGAATTGAACCCAACGGTCACATAAAGCAGTACAGGTTCGTGAAGTTTCGACCTTGGTGCCTTGTCTCGTCTCGGCCTCTTTTGGCCGAGACCACAGTTTCGGCCTATGGCTGAAACTTGGATGGCAGTTTGGCCCTTGCGGGGCTTGTATCAAGCCTTTTTCAATCTCTGCTAGTTGAAATTTGATTTCCACCCCACCCAAGAGAGCCTCTATGCTATACAATTCTACAAGCTTCAAAAGAGCTCTTGTATATAAGGGGGGAAAATCTTCATTCCAAAGCAATGTGGGACAAAAAGCTCACTTTTTCCCTTCATTTTCCAACTCAAATGGGTCTACTTTGAGAATCAATATCTCATTCACCCATTATCCGTTTTGAGCGTACAATATATCAATCTTTTCGTCTCACTACGAAGTATCCGAATCCACTTTGACCCGACCCAAATCGGAAGTGGACCCCACTGATAATTGTACCACAAAATAGCCACTTAACATGCCTTTTTATGCCATTTAAGCTATTTTTTCCAACATAACGCACCTTAAACACACAAACTACACACCTAAAGCTTTAGACTGACACAATTAAATTTTCAACAACTGACGCACCTTAAGCACATAGCACAAAAATTACGCACCTTAAACACAAAGACCACACACCTTAAGAAGGAAAACCACGCGCATTAAATTTGACCTAGATGCAAAAAAAAAAAAAAAAAAAAAAAAAAAAAAATTGCCACCGCATTTTTTTTTAATCATTGTTAATCATGAACATTGATTTATGCATGATCAATGACTATCATCTCACCGCACATCCCCACACCCTCCGCATTTAAATGTAATTCTCTCTCTCTCTCTCTCTCTCTCTATATATATATATATATATATATATATATATATATATATACATATATATATATATATACA